TTTTACCATGTTGCCCAGGCTGGCCTCAAACTCCTGGCCTCAAACAATCTGCCCCCTTCAGCCTCCCAAAGTGCTAGGATTATAGGCATGAGCACTGTGTCTAGCCCCTTTTTATTCTTGAGTGATATCCAGTTCCTCTTTCACAGTATGTGACTTCCGAGCACTAAATCTTTGGCTTCCACTGATTTCCATTCAGAGTCCTTTTTTTTTTTTTTTTTTAACTTTGCAAGCTTCTGTCTTTGTTTTTGGTTTCAGCAGATTTCTTCTCATTATCTTAGCTATAATTTCCTTTTCATTAGCCTTTTTACGGATGTGTTTCTTTCTCTTTTTTTTTTGAGATGGAAGTTTTGCTCTTGTCGCCCAGGCTGGAGTGCAATGGCACGATCTCGGCTCACTGCAACCTCCGCCTCTGGATTCAAGCGATTCTCCTCCCTCAGCCTCCCGAGAGGTTGGGATTACAGGTGTGCGCCTAATTTTTGTATTTTTAGTAGAGATGGGATTTCACCATGTTGGCCAGGCTGGTCTTGATCTCCTGACCTTGTGATCCACCTGCCTTGGCCTTCCAAAGTGCTGGGATTATGGGCATGAATCACCACGCCCGTCACAGACCTGTTTCTTGAAAGTATGCCCTTGTCAGTTAAAAAAGATAACAAAGAGCCCAAGAGTTTGAGACCAGTCTGGGCAACATAGTAAGACTCCATCCCTACAAATAAATAAAATTAGCCAGGCATGTTGGGACATGCTTGTAGTCCCAGTCACTTGGGAGGCTGAGGTGGGAGGATCACTTGAGCTCAACAGGTTGAGACTGCAGTAAAGCCAAGATGGTGCCATTGTACTCCAGCTTAAGTGACAGAGCAAGACCCTGACTCAAAAAGAAAAGAAAAAAGTAATCTGTAATGAGGATGTTAGGAGCGATTATAAAATCATAACTAATCATGGTCACATGAAATACAAAAATAAAAATATGTTATTTTCATTTGCCAAAAAAGTATGCCTTCTTTTCATCTACCAGTTTTCTAATCTTCTAATATTTTCTCTACTTTCTGAACCTTTTTTAATTTCAGAACCCTGATTTAATAAACATAAGACTTAATTACTATATATCTTGTGCCCATACTAGCTTTTTTCTCATTTTCTTCTCAAACTCTTACTACAAAATTCATGTCCTCCTTTCCACTTGGTTAACTTTTTGTTTCCTGTGTGTAATCTGATCTTCACATCTATTGTCCTTTATTTTAGTTATTTGAAAGTAATGAAAATTGTCATTTGGAGTTGATTTATTTATTTTTTTTTTTGACAGAGTTTCACTCTGTCACCCAGGCTGGAGTGCAGTGGTGCGAGCTCACTGCAACCTCTGCCTCCTGGGTTCAAACGATTCTTATGCCTCAGCTTCCTGAGTAGCTGAGACTACAGGCACACACCACCACACCTGGCTAATTTTTGTATTTTTAGTAGAGATGGGGTTTTACCATGTTGCCCAGGCTGCTCTTGAACTCCCGACCTCAGTGACCCACCCACCTCAGCCTCCTAAAGTGCTGGGATTATAGGCATAAACCACCATGCCTGGCCCATTTTTTGTTTCTACAATAGTTTCAGTCTTCAGCCAAAACTCAAATTTTCTATATATTTTTATATACCAGGTATAGTTACTTTTTACAAGTGCCATATACTTTAAATCAGTTTTATTGTGGTATGACTTATGTAGTTTAAAATAAAATAGGCTGGGCAGGGTGGCTCACTCCTGTAATCCCAGTACTTTAGGAGGCCAAGGCAGGTGGATTACAATGTCAAGATATAGAGACCATCCTGTCCAACATGGTGAAGCCCCATCTGTACTAAAAATACAAAAATTAGCTGGGCGTGCTGGTGCGCACCTGTAGTCTGGGCTACTTGAGAGGCTGAGGCAGGAGAATCGCTTGAACCCAGAAGTTGGAGGTTGCAGTGAACCTAGATCACGCCACTGCACTCCAGTTTGGCAACAGAGTGAGACTCCATCTCTAAATAAATAAATAGATAACACCAATCTTAAGGAAGAAGTTTGATGAGTTTGGACAAACAAAACTGGAAGTAGAATATGTCCATAAGACAAACCTCAAACATGAGAATGGGCAGAAACTGGAAAGGCTTTCAGAAACTTACTGAAAGCAAAAACAGCCTTGAAGAAATTTTCTTTTTCATGGTGTTAGTTTATTTAATAACTGACAATTTGATTATTATCACCATTTTAAAGATGAGAAAATTATAGCATAAAAAATTCAAGTAAATGCCCCATGACACCACCCCTTTAACCTTGTTTCTTATTTCCTGGAACCTTGCCATATGCATGGAACTTAAGAGTAGCATCTGGCTGGTTTTAAACTTACATTAATGAAGCTGCAATCTGGAGGTCAGGAAGTTTCAGAAAATTGTTGCTGGTGACTGATGAGTTCACTTAGATGCCTATATCTGCTGGTCTATATATCACTTCACTGCTATTTAAAAAAAAAAAAAAAAAAGGCATCTACCTCCCTTCTTTATCCAAATCTTATTTACCATATCTTTTGCAGTAACCAGATTCTTTAGATGACATGTAGCAAATAGTCTAGGAAGTAAAATTCTTATGTTTCCAGTCCCTGAAACACAGGTAAGAGCACAAAAAGAGGTAGAAATTAGTGCGGATTAGAAATAAACAATATCTACCACCACTTATAGAGGATACAGTGGGAAATAAACCCCATAATCTAAACAAAAACAACTACTACAGCTCCTATAAAGACTTTGGAGGGGAGGCAGGTTTTATGGGAAATTAGTGGTGACATGGTATGTACTGACAGTAGATAACAAGGGCTAGCTGTCAATGTAATGTATATTCATATTTCTTGAAGACTCACAGTTGTGGGCTAAGAGAAGTAGAATGAGGGCCTTGCACCCAAACCAAAGCAACATCCCTAGTTCAAAGCTACTCTGTTAGATGAATCTGCTTATACTATCTGTTGTATCTATTTGATCTCATTCATGTGGTTCTGTTCTCTTGCATGCTGGATATTTGTGACAACTTGCTGGTCCTTGTTCCTGCAATATTACTTGTGGAGGCTCCTTGAGGCAGAAGTTGCCTCCAGAGTGGATTTTCATTTACCTTTTCCAGGTATCACCAGCCCAGTCCATCTCAAATTCAATTCATAATGTGAAATTCCTTAATTTACTCAGGTTATAAATCCACAACTTCCCATACCTGGTGAAATATGAAAAGAAAAGAAAAACAGGGCTTTACCCCAGGAAAATCAAACTGGGAGGCGGAGGTTTTGGTGAGCCAAGATCACACCATTGCATTCTAGCCTGGGCAGCAAGAGCGAAACTCTGTCTCAAACAAACAAAAAAGGAATGCAGAAATGTCAATTGTAGCATTTTGACACAGCATCAAAGTTATCTATTGATGCATAACAAATTAAACTTAGAAGCTTAAAACAACAAACATTTAGGACCTCATACACTTTCTGAGGGTCAGGAATATGTGAGCTGCTATAGCTCAGTGGTTGTGACTGAGTCTCTCATGCAGTTACAGTCAAACTATCGGCAGGGCCTGCAGTCATCTCAGGGTTTTACTGGGGCTGGGAGATGTGCTTCCAAGGGTGATCCACTTGGTTATAGGAAGGCCCCCTCAGTTCCTTTCTACATGGGCCTCTCCATAGTCTGTCTCAGTGTCCTCATGAATAAATTCTCTCAAAGAGGGGGCAGCAGACTTCAAGACAGAAGTCAAGGTGTCTTTTATTATTATATTTAATATCAGCAGTGGAAATGCTAACACTGCTGCAGTATTCTATTAGTCTCACAGTCCAACATTGGTACAATGTGGGAGGGGACTACATAAGAGTGTGAATACCAGGAGGTAGGAATCACTGGGAACCATTTCGGAGGTCAGTTACTGAATCAGTCGCTAGGATAACCAGTTGGAATTCGGATTTATTTAAAAATTCATTTTCACAAGACAAGGCAATATTTTCCAGAGATGTTCCAATACTGCATTAGGTGGTATTCAAGGCTGGACTGTAGGGAACGCTGTGGGTACCCAGCCACCACCCCTGGGCAATCTTATGCATACCGCTGGCTTCTTACTGCAGGAACCTACAGACTCAGCCTGAGACCTTCCCATGAGGCAGGTAGGAAGTGCTGGGGCTTTAACACCTCTGGAGTGGCCCTAAAACAATGAGGAAGATAAATGTTGTATACATATCTCAGCTTCATCGGCCTGGTGGGTGTGACAGCTTGGAAGTGGTTTCTACACAGTCCCGCAGAGTTGCCAAGCTGACTGAGCCCCCACTGATCGCAGACCTAATCTGCTCATCGATGCACTGTATATTCGTTGCCATCCCTCCCGTCTCACTTCTGTCCCGTCTCACTTCTCCATCTCCTACCTGCCAAATAAACTGCTTGCACTCATATTCTTCCCTCAGGTCGGCTTCTCGGGCAAGCCTCCTTACGTAAAGACCTTGCTTTCAACATTTCCTTCCCATTATGCGCTAAGAACTCAGATCTCTTACTGCAGCGGCGGCCCCGCCTTTTCCTTGCGGCTCCGCCCTCTCCGTGAAGGTCACGCCCCCTCATAGGCTATCTCTGTCACCGTAATAGAAAACCAGGTCTCTTGGCTGCTCTCTAACCCCTAGAGCCAGCTCAGAAAAATGTTTTACATTGTCATAGGGGAGCTCCTCCTCGGAGATGCCTCACCCATTGCCCGTAAGAAGCTGTAAAAATGTACGCGGCCATCTTACGAGGCTGCCGGAGACAAAGAAAGCTCAGCTCTGAAGTCTGGGCGCCGCCATGTCGGTCACAGGACGTTTTGGCATCTGAGATGCTGAGTTAAGAGCAGAGACGACATCTCTGTTTAGGGACCCAGGGAAGCTTGCTTCTCCCTATCCTAAAATAGCCTGATATTTTGGTCTAGCAAAGGGCTTAATTATCAGTTGTACGGCACAGCGTTAAACATGGCCGCCCCCAGTAAGAGTCAAGCAGGAGCCGCCATCATATGTCCCATTACAGCTTTGAGAAACCCAGAATCCTGTTCTCTGGAATGTTGCCGGGTGGCGGCTGATAGCTTAAATGTCGCAATTGAGTCTGCGCACCGGCCATTCAGGATGGGACGACCTAATACTGCAGTGAGGCGGCGTGGCAGCACGATCAATTTCGGACTGAGGGCACGGATCCAGCATAAATGGGAAGGGTCAGTTTGAGAAACGGTCAAACCTGGAGACCGGTGGAGGAGAGTGACCCGGCGACTACGGTGGCCGACTGGGTCAGTTATGGGTGCTCGTAAGGTTCAATGACAAGGTGACCGAAGGGTTAAGAGATTGGGCGTCTGAGCCTCGCGGGGCCTCAGTGGTGGCTGGCAGAGATTTGCGGGAGTCAGTGGCACGGTCTCTGAAGAAGATAGATTGGGAGTGTGTGGGAATCAATAAACGCGGGTTCTGTGAAATGTCTTGATTTGCAGGGTGCATAGTGGTCAGTTATAATGGTCTTCATGGGTCTGGGGTCAAGTGGGATTTTTCAGACACAGGTTTGGAGAGCTTTAGGGTTAATGACCGAAGCCCGAGAGGATCAGTGATCGGAAGTTCTAAGTTCTGTGGGCAGTAATACTTTGGGTACTAGAATTGGTGACTGTGGAAACTTTGGTGTCCATTTATGAGGTCAGTGGTGATTAATGTTTGGAGAAATGTTTTGGGTCATCGGTGATTGAGACGTCCTTCATATTATGGGTGGAGGATCGGAGAGTATTAATGATTGGACTTTTGTAGATCAGGGAATGGAGAATAGAGTCAAGTGTGCTTATCTTAAAAGGTACGCCTCAATGAGGCTCGGTGATTCGGACTGTCACTTGTGGGTGGGAGTGGGAGTGTGAGAATCAACAATTGATCCCCAGTTGTTGGGATATCATCGGCGATCAGTGTGGGTTCATGACTGGGATCTGTGTAATTCACTGGCAATCAGATATGATCAGTGTGCTTTGTAGTTACTGACCAGTAGTCTTTCCTGGTCAGATCTGAACATACGGGCATATCAATGATTATGAGAACCTCTGAGGGTTGGAGACTGGAGGCCTGTGATTGGGGACACTATGTGTCTGATTAGGAGGCTTATAGGGGTTGGTATTGAGGCTCCTGAAATGTAGAGACTGGGGATGGGAAAATCACAGATTTGAGGCTGCAAGCCTGCATAATGGAAACACATTTCACTCACATGACACTCCTTAGCTGAATAGCAGCCAATTCCTCTCCACCAAGGCCCATCTCAAAACTCTGTTTTGAACACATCCCCTTTTTATTGTTCTCCACGATAATGAAAATAATTTGAAAGGATTGCCTGCTAAACTTATCTAAAGTAACATGTTATTAAAGATGTTCTTGTTAGGGATGTTCTTGTTAGGGATCTAATGCATATTTTTTCCTAATGTTTCCTTTAAGGTTCTTTCTGGCAAAGGTAATGACCTATGCATCCGTGACAGCATCCCACGAGTGAGCCTGGTTTCTGGCAATCCATTCTGACTCTGTGACAGCTGGGATAGATGTGACCTTGTTTGTGGTTGGAAAACAAATTTACTGGGTAAGTATCTAAAATGATAATGTGGGCTGGACGTGGTGGCTCATGTCTGTAATCCCAGCACTTTAAGAGGCTGAAGTGGGTGGATCATTTGAAGTCTGGAGTTACCAGTCTGGTCAACATGGTGAAACCTTACCTCTATTAAGAACACAAAAATTAGCCAGGCATGGTGGCAGGCGCCTCAGGTCCCAGCTACTCTGGAGGCTGAGGCAGGAGAATCCTTTAAACCCAGGAGGTGGAGGTTGCAGTGGACCAAGATTGTACCACTGCACTCCAGCCTGGGTGACAAAATGAGACTCTGTCTCAAAAAATAAATAAAATAAAATAAAATGATAATGTAAAAAGATATGGCTGAAGGAGCAAACTGAGAGTGTTTAGAAAATACTTTTATCTAGGCTCAACTTAAAAATAAATTATCAAAGGAAGAGAAACTAGATTTAGAATTTTTTGTATTCTGAGAGTCTTTTTGCCTTGTCCTATATGTTTTAGGTATGGCCATGTTTAACCTCAATTAGTTCCTTATTAAGTCCTGACAGAAAAATTCAAAAAAGATAAAGCCACAAGAACCACAAAACAAAATTTAAAGCTACTTTTAGAAACCTTTCTTCACTGAAATTGAAATTGAACTATATTAAAATGGCTGAGATGGGATTGCAAATAAAATAGAAATAAGATTTTAAAAAATAGATTTAGTGGGTTTGGGTGTGGTGACGCATGCCTGTAATCTCAGTACTTTGGGAGGCCAAGGTGGGCAGATCACAAGGTCAGGAGATCAAGACCATCCTGGCTAACACAGTGAAACTTCATCTCAACTAAAAATACAAAAAATTAGCCGGGCGTGGTGGCATAAGCCTGTAGTCCCAGCTACTTGGGAGGCTGGGGCAGGAGAATCGCTTGAATGTGGGAAGTGGCGGTTGCAGTGAGCTGAGACTGTGCCACTGTACTCCAGCCTGGGCAACAGAGTGAGACTCTGTCTCAAAAAAAAAAAAAAAAAAAAAAAAAGATTTAGAGGCTGTAAGTGCAGTTTTGTTACATAGATATATTTCATAGTGGGGAAGACTGGGCTTTTAGTGTAACTCTCCCTTGAATAATGTACATTGTATCTATCTTGTAACTCCCTCCATTCAGAGTTACCAGCATCCATTATTCTGTTTTCTATGTTCATGTGTACACATTATCTTCTAAGTGAGAACATGCAGTATTTGACTTTCTGTTTCTGAGTTAGGAAATAAGATTTGAACCATTGCTCTAATGAAAAGGTGCAATGCCAAAACAATATTTTAACTTTAAAAAATTACTGCCTTTGATCTTTATGTAACCTTCAGACAATGCACAATGCCTCTTAAGAAATAAAGGCAGCTGATTGCTATGGCAGGTAATATCTTTCAGAACCCATATAGGTCATGTTTTAGTTTTAAAGGCAGATAGTCCCTGTTTTTCATTTGCACAGAATGGAAGACAGATAGCTGCTTAACATGGGTGAAGTAATAAGCCAGGGTAAGGAGTTTGGGTATTTTTTTCCCAAGTTGATTCCCTTCACCACCTATACTGTGCTCAATGCCAGGTTTCAGAGCAAAATAATTTTTTTTTAAGTTTTTTTTAACATAAACCTTTTATTATGTTATAAGATATATGCAAACATGTATGTAAATATGCAGCTCAGTGAATTGTTGCAAGGGAATACCTCTGGGTAATGCACTCAGATCAGAAAACAACATTGTAGCACCATGCCTCCGTGATGCCCCTCCCAGTCACTACTCTGCCAAAGGGAAGCATTCTCCTAGCTTCTAACCTTACCGATTAGTTTAGTCTGTTTTTGATCTCTAATTTAATGGGATATTCATTGCAGGGAGAAGCACCACGGGGAGAGGCAAGATGTGGCTGTGTTTGAACAGAATTTCTAAGTTCGAATCCAGATAATTTCATTTATATAACAGACACTTTTCCAGGCCACTAAATATTCCTTTTTTGGCCAGGCATAGTGGCTTGCGCCTATAATCTCAGTGCTTTGGAAGGCTGGGGTAAGAGGCTCGCTTGAGGCCAGGAGCTTGAGACCAGCCTGGGCAACATAGTGAAAACCCATCTTTACAAAAAATTTAAAAATTAGCTGGGCAGGCTAGGTACAGTGGCTCACGCCTGTAATCCCAGCACTTTGGAAGGTGAAGGCAGGTAGATCACCTGAGATCAGGAGTTTAAGACCAGCCTGGCCAACATGGCGAAGCTTCATCTCTACTAAAAATACAAAAAAAAAAAAAAAGATTAGCTGGGTGTGGTGGCAAGTGCCTGCAATCTCAGCTACCTGGGAGGCTGAGGCAGGAGAATTACTTGAACCCAGAGGCAGAGGTTGCAGTGAGTCAAGCTTGCGCCATTGCACTCCAGCCTGGGCAAGAGTGAAACTCTGTCTCAAAAATAATTAGCTCGGTTTGGTGGCTCACACTTGTGATCCTAGCTACTGGAGAGGCTGAGATGGGAGGATTCCCTGAGCCTAGTTGTTTGAGGTTGCAGTGAACTATGATTGTGCCACTGCACCCTATCCTGGGTGACAGAATGAGACCCTATTTAAAAAAAAAATTATTTTAAAAAATTGAGGCATAATACATATGTAGTCAAGTGTGCTTATCTTTAAGGTGTAGCCCATTGAATTTTTACATTACAGAATCCTGTAACCAAAGCCTAGATCAAGATATTCATCACTTCTAAGACCTTGAAAGTGTCCTTACTGGTCAATACCTCCTGCCACCCCAGGAGTAACTAGGGTTTAATACAGTAGATTACTTTTGCCTGCTTTTGAATTTGAATTGAATTTTATATGTCCCCTATGAATCCACTTGATTGATTCATATTCACTGAATTTGATAGGATTCCATTTGAATCATATAAATAATGTGAAGCCAAGGCATTTATACCATGAGGAAATTTTGTTTGAAATTTTGAAACCACATGAACTTCAGGACAAATTCTAACCTGAAGGCTGGGCATGGTGGCTCACACCTGTAATCCCAGCGTTGGGAGGCTGTGGCAGGCAGATCACTTTACCTCAGGACTTAGAGACCAGCCTGGTCGACACAGTGAAACCCCATCTCCACCAAAAATACAAAAATTATCTGGGCATGGATTTTGGTGCCTGCAATCCCAACTACTCAGGAGGCTCAGACTGGAGAATCATTTGCACCTGGGAGACGGAGGTTGCAGTGAGCTGAGATTGCACCATTGCATTCCAGTCTGGGCAACAAATCAAGATTCTGTCTAAAAAAAAAAGAAAAAAAGAAATTCTAACCTGAAGTTCTGGCTTGGCCGTCTGAGATTGCCTCTTTTCTCTTATTCTCTCTGGAAGCCAAAAGCATACACCGTGAACTAGACCCTGAGGGGTTATTTTTTTTTTTTTTTTTTGAGACTGAATCTTGCTCTTGTTACCCAGTCTGGAGTGCAGTGGTGTGATCTTAGCTCAAGGCAACCTCCGTCTCCCAAGTTTGAGCGATTCTCCTCCCTCAGCCTCCCTAGTAGCTGGGACCACAGGCATGGGCCACCATGCCCAGCTAATTTTTATATTTTTAGTAGGGGCAGGGTTTCCTCATGTTGGCAGGCTAGTCTCGAGCTCCTGACATCAGGTGATCCACCCTCCTTGGCCTCCCAAAGTGCTGCAATGACAGGTGTGAGCTACCATGCCTAGCCTGACCTTGAGGTTTTAAGGTAGGTTTCTAGTAGGGTTCCATTAATGAAGGTAACAGTTAAGGATTCTTCTCAATAGGTAGGTTGGAAGGGGATTTTCAGTCCTTTGGTCAAAATCTCTTAGTCTTGAGAGACTGAGCATTGACAAGAGAGACTTGAATGAAGCAATGAAAAATTGTCTCTCTAGAGGCTGGTTGCTTGAAGGCCAAGCATAGTGGTGACTCAACAAATGCAAGGTTCTAGGCGGAGGCTGCCTTAGGGATTCCAAGCTTCTGGTAGATTCACTCCCAAGCAGAGAAGCCTGTTCCTCACATACAACCTGACAATATGGGAAATATGGGAAAGCAGCTAATCTCTTCTTCATCTCACAGATCTTCCCATCTTGCACAACTTTCTACAGACATAAAAAATTACTGTTTTGTTTTGGTTTCGATTTTAAATAATTTCAGATTTAGAAAAGTTACAAGAATAGGCTGAGTGTGGTGGCTCACACCTGTAATCCCAGCACCTTGGGAGGCTGAGGCGGGCAGATAATGAGGTCAAGAGATCGAGACCATCCTGGCCAACATAGTGAAATTCCGTCTCTACTAAAAATACAAAAATTAGCTGGGCGTTGTGGCACGTGCTTGTAGTCCCAGCTATTTGGGAGGCTGAATCAGGAGAATCACTTGAACTAGGGAGTCAGAGGTTGTAGTGAGCCAAGATCATGCCACTGTACTCCAGCCTGGCAACATAGTGAGACTCTGTCTCAAAAAAAAAAAAAAAAAAAAAAAAGAATAGTATAGAAATTCCTGTTATACCCTTTACCCCATATTGTAATTGTTAACATTTTGTTGTGTGTGCAGAGACTTTCTCTCTCTCTCTCTCTGTGAACATGTTAATTTTTCTTTTTCCAAACCATGTGATTGTAAGTTGTGGACATGATGGCCCTTTACCCCTAATGTATATTTCCTAAGTAATATACATTTTGTATGTGATCACAGCAATTAACTAACCACAATATAATAAATGAAAGCACACTGCTGCCTCTGCCTTCTGGATTCAAGCTGTTCTCCTGTCACAACCTCCCTAATAGCTGGGATTACAGGCGTGCACCACCATGACTGGCTAATTTTTGTATTTTTGGTAGAGATGGGGTTTCGCCATGTTGCTCAGGCTGGTCTCGAACTACTGACCTCAGGTGATCTGCCCACCTCAGCCTTTCAAAAGTGCTGTAATTACAGGCATGAGCCACCATGTCCAGCCATTATGTATTTTTTATTGAAGATGGAAAAGATTAGATGAGCGAATGTGGTGTGGTGTCTCAATTGAGTTATACCCAACTGTGATTGGTT